CCCCGAGCCTTTCTCCAGTCCCCCAGGAGTCACTTTTGTGGCAGATTCCATTTGGATTCACAGGGCCCACAAATCTCCCACGTTCAGAGCAGCTTGCAAATGGCTCGCTCTTGCCGGAGCCTGAGCCCAGCCCCAAACAGGCCGCTCCTGTTCCCCTCCATTGTCTGCGGGGATGATGGGCCTGCCTTTTCCCACATGGACCTGCCTGCGAGTGGGGAGATGTGAAAAGTTAAAGACAAAAATGGTCTCTACAGAGAGGGGGGGAGCTTTCTTGTACAGAAAGGAAGGAAATACCTCTGTGGGATTTTATTTTCTTCCCCCCACCCAGCCACTCACCCCCCTTTCATCCAAAAAACACAAAGAGACTCTGTCTTTAATGCGAATGTCGGCTTTAAATCTGTTAAGTTTGGATTAACTCTGCAAAGGGAAAAAGAAAAACATCTGACAGGCTTTCAGATATGACGCCGAAAACTATCCCCCGCCCCCCAATTCATGCTGCTTCGTTTGTGCAGCGAAAGGCCCAGTGCCAGTGGCCCCTTGCGCATAGTTAGCATCACAATGATCAGAATTAGCAGCCCCACCACCACTTCTGCCTGTTCCACCAGCGGACATTTAATACCAGGTGGCAAAGGCAAGAATAAATCTCTCTCCCGTGGCCCCCACATTGAAATGGATGAAAATGAAGCCAAGTCAATGTGGTTTTCCATTCCCAGACTTAGAATCTTATCTTACCTCCCCCACTCCCTAACGGGGTGGAAAAAGGGGGGGGGGGCTGTTTGTTTTTTACAGCTGTTACCTTACTAGAAAGCTTCCTTCAATCAAAACAAGACCCCCTGACCTGGTAGACATTTCCTATTACATGGTTATTGCCGGTTTTCACCACTGAGGATGTCAGCAGGCACGTCAAAGATCATGATTTGCTTATAAAATAAAGTGACTTTTATGGGAATATTTTTCATCTCATCTATGGGTGCCGGCCAACCCCCATGGTGAAAATTTATTTTCTGGAATTTCTTTAAATGGCAAGTGTTTTCCTTGAAAGACAAGGGTGCAAAGCTGTTCTATCAGAAACACAGAAAGCTTGAGACTCCCTGAACGGAGGGTCAGTCTGCTGTTCCCCAGGGTGTAGGTGATCTGTACAATTATAGAAGTTTATCATCTGTATGTTTAAAGAACATCGATCGACTGCAACTGCGTATGTGTGATTATGAAACTGACTCTCCAGACAGTAGGAATCTAGATAAACTTTAGTTCCTGAGCCAGATCTGGTTTTTAAAAAAAAGTATGTGTTTTGGTGGGTTATCGATTGTAAAGGTGCACACACTAGTTGGCTGCTTTAAAAAGTTACAGCAGTCCCATTATAAATTAAAGAGATACTGTCAATATGCTTTTGATAAATAGACTCACAGAAGTTAAACCAATCTTTTTTTTTTTCAGTTTTATTGAATGACACGATTCCTCTTAAATACTCTGCAGTCTAATTTTATTCAAAGGCATCTGGGGTTTTTTTGGTCATAATTGCAAACAGCTAATATCTGCTAATTATAGAATCATTTTCTTTATAGCCTCTAGAGCTCTGATATTACCATGTGGGACTTAATACAAAAGTAGGGTTAAAGTTATTTTTAATACACACCTATTCAGATTTTACATACTCTTGATATTGGCAATAACACATATGCACTGATACAAGTTAAACAAATAATTGAACAAAACCAAAAATTTTCCTACCTCATTTCAGTCCAAAATAATCAAAGTGTTATTTTCAAAGCCCTCTTAATTTAATTATACTCCACTCATGATTTATCTGGACAATTTCAGAGTATTGAGTAACATTTTGCAAAGTAAAATTTTCATTTGCCAGAAAAGGAAATTTCATTTCTACCTGGGATTTGTTTTGCACATTCTAATATAAGGGAATCTAATCCAGCGTATGCTTGAAACTGACGCAACAGCATTCGATCTGTAATAAAAGATCCGTGCTTAATACTCCACAGACTAACTACAACAGTAAAAATGTCACTTAACAATATGAAAAGGCTTGGCACAGGATAAAACTCATCTGTATTAGCTACTCAAGGAAAAGAGATGTCGTAACTGCATGTTTTAACACATTGACACTTCCCAAATATTTCACAGGTTTGAATTCAGTTATTGTGTCCTTGAAGAGTGATATTCTTGGGGGTTTTTTAGTTAATTTTTTAAATGATAACTGCATTTAATAATATAAGTGCTAAATGTGACTGGTTTATCTCCTGGCTCTTCAGTAATTCCGTTCCTGACCATCTCTGCAGGCAGCCATGCTGTTTGGTTCCGGCGTCTTTTGGACTGGCCTGTTATTCATCCCTGTGGCATCTTTGCTTCTTGATGTGGCCTACAAGGTGTAAGTACCGTCCTTGGTTGTGTGCACTAAAAACAGCAGGCGGGCATTCATTCTCAGATGCCTGTAGTTGGAATACCAACTTATTGTCGAATTAGCAGAATAGGAATATTCTGATATTGATTAATACTGACTCTTTCTGAAGACTGTATTAATACAAAGAGGACAAAGTGATTGAGGAACTACAAAAGGGAATGAATTGAAAAGACTCAATAAGGAGAAAAGCAAGTAGTCTGAGTGTAGCAAGAGGAAAAAGTGCAGTGGAGGAATTACATTAGAGTGCTTGCTAGAAGTCATTCTGCAAAGCCACAAGAGACAAAAGCAAGAATTCTCCATAACTATGCTGTTAATTTACTTTTAGCAAATGACAGCTGGGAGCAGAAGTTTGGGGTTTGCCTAATTCTAAACATGATAGAAAGATCAGAGAGATATAACGTAAAGGCTTTGCCAATTTTTCTCAACTACACGTTTTAAAATGCTAATTCTTTCCACAGCCAAAGGTATCACTGAATTTACTTTTACGGTAAAGGTGTGAAAACCAGAACCTGCATCATGTAGAAACCTCAGAGAAGGAAAACTTACATTTTCCAAAATAGAAAGTCATAGAAAAATAGTCACACCGTGCCCGATTAAAGTCGGAAAGTTTGTGAGACTCAGAAAAACAAAACAGTCCTTCTGGTGGAGTTCCAGCTCTCCCAGGTTCCCCTGTGTGTGTTTATTTTGTACTTATAAGAGGTTTGTTATTATGAACACCAGTTCTCTTTATATTAGAACCATCGTTTCTGTGCCTGTCTTAATGCTCAAAATAACTGTGATGCCAGGAGACTTCCAAAAGTATTTAGAAAAATTACATTATCTTTTACTTACATTTTCCCACAAACTTTTTGAAGTCCCCCCACCCCCCATATTTTAGATTTATTCTTCGGTGGGGGGTTGGGTAGAGAATATACTGTGGTTACTAGTATACTTACCAACAGCATGATAGTAAACCCAGATACTGGTTTTATGAAGCCCCACGTTTTCACAAGGGCATTTCCATACAAATTCTTTCTCTGCAGTATCAAGAGGACTGCGTTTAAAACATTAGTAGATGAAGTTCAGGAGCTGGAGGCCAAATCTCAAGACCCCGGGGCTGTGGTGCTCGGAAAAAGGTAAAACTCACCCTGAGTATCTTCTTTAACAAGTGAATTTTCAATGTGCCTTTTATCAGTGGCTGGAAGTGGTGGGGCTTGGAGCTGACATCAGCATAAATCCGGCAGTGTCCTTGACAGATTTTGTCATTCGATGTGGAAGAGAGTCAGATCTGCCGTTTACTAACCTAGGAGCTCAGCCAAGTTGATGCTACTGAGCCTCAGTTTTCTCCTCTACATAATGGGTGTGATGCCATTACATCATGGCTGGTTCTTAGAACTGAATAAAACACTGTCGATAAAGTACGACACAGAGCACCTGGTGCTTACTAGGCATTAAGTATGAGAGGCTTCAAAAAGTTTGTGGGAAAATCCCATTATCTTATGATCCTATTTCCCGTGAACTTTTTGAACTTTCCGAAAAGTTCAAAAACAGCAGCAACTCCCCTGCCATGGAGTTGGTTCTGACTCATCATGGGACACAGCGGAACAGCCTCTGTGAATTACTACCCAAGGAGAAAGCCTCCTCTTTCGCCCAGAGTGTCTGGTGGGTTTGAACTGCTGGCTTTGTGGTTAGCAACCCCACTCATAACCCCAGTACACTCCAGGGCTCCTCCTCAGATGTCCTAGATACCAGTACAAATACTGTGTCATTGAACTGACAGGAGGAGGGGCTAATCGCTTGAGAGAGTATTGAAAATAGCATATAATCTAAAGGACAGTTTGACCTTGGGATAATGGCCCCAATGTTCATTATACGTTCATAGGGTGAAATCCATTGTTAGGAACTCACCTAGACAGATATTGTTAGGTTTCTCGGGTGGGAAATACCTCGGTGCTTGGCTTCACATGAGAAAGAATCCACACCGAAGCCTGGTTTGTGATCCAGGTTTTTATAAAGGACGGAAGTTTCAGGGTTTACGGTCACTGAACACAGGCAACCTCACGGGACTGCACCCCCAGTCATGGTGGCCTGAGGCCAGAGAAAGGGAGACCTTGGCAGAGCCAAGCAGAAGGCAGAGAAGCAGTCGAGGACAGGTGGTGACCTCCAGGTTCCCGCCTTTAGGACCTTCAGCTAGGAGGGGTGGTCAAAGGTACTGGTTAACCCCATTGGCTGAATTAAGCCCACCTGGCCTAGTTTGGACTCACCCAGATGTACTGCCTACCTGGCCTGAATTTGGCGCATGCCCAGTTAGTCCTTATGGCTTCCAACCTTGTGTGTGTATGTGTGTGTGGAGGGGGGAGAAGGGGGGGCCCTCCAGGCATGGAGAGGGACACTCCGTGTCCCTGTCTCTAGCTACCTAACATTATCACCTATGAAATGAGCTGTGTCTTCAAAGTCCTCTTCATTATCTATTCTCCCCGAAATAGCAAGATTAGAAAGCTAATAGAAATCAATTTATGAAGCATCAGAAAAAAGAAATTAGTGGGGCGGGTGGGGAGCTGATACCAAAGGCTCAATAGAAAGTAAATATCTAGAAAAGAATGATGGCAACATATGTACAAATATGCTTGACACAATTGATGTATAGATTGTTATAAGAGTTGTAAGAGCCCCCAATAAAGTGATATTTTAATAAATATTTTAAAGAACAATATATTGAAGAACAAATAAAATGTTTTATCACAAAATGCTTTTACATATCATTTGCCTTCCCTCCTTCTCCCCCATGAGATCATTGTCTTATATGCATTGCTAATTATTCTTTATATGTTAGGAATATTAATAATTTGTTTTTCACAAATATTAAAAATATATTCCAGTTTTTAAAAATAAATTAATTAAACTTTAGTTGAAGGCAGCCTATAACAAGAAACTGT